CCGGCGTGTGCCAGCTGCCGCGGAAGCACTACTAGAAATTGTACTAGCGTGTCGTGCAGCGAGTGTGTCATGAGCAGGTATTATCGTGCCCTTTTTCCATCTACGAATGGGAAGGCCACATTTTCCTTTGAACCAGGCGACGTAGGTAGGGTTTTAGTTATGGTTTTCCCCTTTTTCCCAGTGACATCACCTTTTCCGATTTTTCCCATCTCTATTCTTTCTTCCCTTTGGAACACCTCGCGAATATTACGATGCGTAGCGAGCAGAATTAGGTTTGAGATCAGCAGATCTTCGTTCGTATGTTTACTCACCCGTACATTTTTGAAGATGACGGCTTCTCTTAGCGAGGAACTGAAGACGTTGGCTCAACGCCTTGAGGCAAAGGGCATCACGGAGGCAGAGTACAATATCCTGGTGAAGGACGCCGTCGCTCGCCACAACAAGGGTGTTAAGGACACCGTGTCGTACTTGGCAGAGCAGGCCGACTACCAGCTGTCCCCGTGGAAGATCGGCCTCCAAGAAGCACAGGACTTCTGGGCAGATTGCCCCGACCTGACGGAAGACAAGATCAAAGAGAAATTTCTGCGCATGGCGAAGCACAAGCAACTGTCGCCGATGATCGTGTTGGTGTGCATGTATCTCCTATTCACAACGGATAAGGAGATTGGCAGAACGCGGATTCTGCAGCTCCTCCTGTTTGCACCGAGCGATAAAATGGTCGACTACCATAACTGGCACATATATGAATGTTTGCTCCCTCAGGAACAGCGCATCTTCGGCGAGCTCATCGCTCATTGCCCGTTGCCTTTCTACCCCCCTTGGCCGGAACTCTCTCACTTGAACGAGGAAGCGCGACAGATCGTACGACAGGGTAAGTCGCTGAACGGAGGTGGCGACGCCCATACCGACATCACGGAGATGAGGAGGCTGTACGGTACGACATCTCTCGATGTACTGGAGGGTGCTGGTTTCGAGCCGGTGCTGAACGCTCAAGGCGAGCAGATCGCGGCTGTTGATCGGTCGCTGACAGAGGCCGCCCTGCAGCAGGTGCAACAAAGCATCCAAAACCTTTCAGCTGCGCTGGCCAAGAGTGCCTCCACCTACCGTGGCAGGGGCCGCGGCGGTGGCCGGAGCAGGTGGTCGAGGTTGCAACAACTCGAGGGGTCGCGGAGGAAATGGCCCTTGGGCATACGGCGGCGGCGTCACCGAGAAGGACGAGGCCCCCAAAAAACTGATGAAACCCGCGCGCAAGAAGAGTTCCCGCGGTGATGCCAAGCCTGTCAACTGCCTTCAGACAGGAGACTTGGTGTTAGCCGGCGGCGATTTTGCGGCTGGCAAAACGAATAACTTGGAGATAGATAAGATTCTCCAGCCCTTTTTTCCATCGAAAACGGTTCTGCGCTGCCACACCTTTCCGCAGCTTTCTCTTTCGTCAGTAGCTGAGATTGAGAAGTTGGTGGAAGACAAAGGAATGGTGTTTTTTCCCGATCTTCTTACGACACCACTGGATTGCAGGTATTCTGCACACGGGCGACGAAAGCCCAACCCGACTCCAGGTGTTCGATTCCGCGCCCTCAGACGCTGTACAGAAGGATCTCCGCAGGAAATTAGAGCGGTACTGGCCGACCCTACAGGTCGAGATATGCCACTGCGCGCACCAACGTAGCAAGAGCGAGGACTGTGGACTCTTCATGATGGCCACTTTTTCGGCCGTACACCTCAACACGCAGGTCGCCCACCCTGGCTCCATGCCAAGACGCCTCCGAGAGTTCTTGGCGAAGGCAGCGAGCAGTCTACCGACACATCGTGAATTTTGGAAAGTGATGCGCGACATCTTGGAGACGCGCCCCCAACCGAACGCACCGACCAAACGCCTGGAGGGCGGTACAGAGGCGGGGGCATCGCTAGCGGAAGTACTGGAAAACGCTGCGCAAGCCGACGCGGCATGTCACACACGGAGTTTACGTTACCTGCTCATCGCAGTAGCCCTCGTTTCCCTCGCGGACGGCAATCACAGGTCGGTCAGCGCACAAGCTCTTGCAAACAGAGCTCACCGTTTGGGTTTCGCGAGACGGGAAGATGTGGACGTCCGCCGCGCAGTTGTACAGATGGGCTGCACCGTAAAGGTGTACGACCCCCAGAGAGCTCCTGAGGAGACGAGCCCTTGGTTTTTCCTCACTGCGGGAGAGGGGCAAGCCTTGCCGGAGCGTGTAGGAGGCCATCGCTTTCTTGCCGGTGCGAAAATGGAAGGAAGAGATCGCAACGCGCAAGGGGTATCAACGCAGTCATACAAGTTGACCCAAGTCGCAGGCGAAGCAGTTTTGGGCCTTTACACTCGAGAAAGGTTGGGCGCAGAGGAGGACCTTGCCGAGGCAGAACGCATTCCACCGCGGCCGCGCGCCGCTAGCGAGGAACGACGCGTCGCGCCGATACCAGTCGATGCCGCTGCACGACCGGTCATGCAAGATTACATCCCAGGACCCGAGCCTCCTCCGGACCACGCGTCGGACGACGAAGAGGAGGGCGCCGATCGCAGAGCGGCCCTGCGGATTGAACCCACGGCGTATTTAAACTGGCAGGGCAGACACAACGAGGCGGTGGGCTGCCCGAGAGAGTGGGTGATCTACTCACAAAGACCTCGACACGTCTCGCAGTTGGCGTGGGCTGCCGTGACACCGGACATACGCAACCAGCACATCCGTTGGCTGCGAGAGCTGAAGGCGATGCCGGCCGATTTGCTGCGGGTAGATCTAGCAACGGCGGCAGCGACCCTGGTGACCAGAATACACCGGGCAAGACGATGGCAGTGGTCCACTCACACAAAGGCCCTGTCAAAGATGCGAGCAGCGTTGTACAACCTCCCTCTGTATACAAACGTGCAGAAGCCGTACGATGTGACGCAGTCCCCGGAGTGGAGGGCGGCCGTGAGAACGGCACACCGCTTCGAGAGGGAAACGCCAGCGAACCCGCCACCCCCTATCACCATCGACGAGTACCGGGACGCACGCGACCACCTTTGTACGAACCCCCTTCCGCGCCTCTTCCTGAGCATGATGTGGGCCTTTGCCGCCAGGGCGGGAGACATTGGCCAGTTGAGAGTGAGCGACGTTCATCTCAACCCATCGCAGGCCGACGAGGCACCCTCGGGAAGATTGAGCCTGACGGTGCGCCGGGGAAAGGGTGCCCGCTTCCGCGGACCTTACACCCTGGCCTCGCACCTCCACCGCGAGGACCTTTCGGTTCTCCAGCCGTTGATGCTCCAGAGAGGTCCACAGCAGCTGCTGTTCGCTCCACTGGGACCGATCAAGGACAGCGTGAGAGCGGCGCTCCGCTTTGTCAATGCGGAGGCGGCGCTTCCGTCGATACGCAAGGGTGCTACACGATGTCTGGCGGCCAGTACCAGGACAGAAGAGGAGGTGATGCGGCTGACGGGCCACACGCGCAACGACACGCTCCAGAGGTATTTGGGTTATGGCCGCCATCTTACGGCGGAGGCCGTGATCGCGCAGGACAACGCGGCCCGTGTCCTCCTCGCGCCGAGAGAACGGGGGTAACGGCGCCCAAAGCGTGGGAGCTCGGAATCCAGCTCACTGCGCTATACGCGGAGATCCGACGCAGGAGGGGTGAGCCGCCGGTGGATGTCCCACCACCGTCGGGGTGGCCCTTGCATCTGAAGACGACGACCCTTTTAGACGTGGAGGGCGTGCGACGCCTCAACGTTGCCAACCCGAAAACACGCGAGCTGTTTGAAACTGCCATGGAATACATGACGCCGCAGAAGTTCGATTTTCTCCGCACTTCCCGTACCATCAAGAGGACAAAGCTGAGCCTTGAAGACGAAACAAGAGCTATTAGGATGGGAAAGTTCGAGCGTTGCCCGGGAGAATTCAATCATCGACTTCACGATGGAGTGCATGGTGTGAATGTGTTGACAGTTCCTGAGATGAAAGGAAGGAGACGCATGATCACTGAGCCTCATCTGAACTCAGTGGTGCGAAAGGCGGAACTCCCAAAGCTTTGCAGCCCTGGGAGGCTGGAAAGACGCCAAGGTTTGCGTTTTGCGAAGTACATGCTTCAGATCGATTTTGAGGCGTTCTATGACGCAATTCCACTCCCTGAAGAGACGCGTAACAAGTTTGTGTTCTTTACGTCGAGGGAATACTACTACCGTTTGAAGACCCTCCCGACCGGTGCCCGATGGAGTGTGGCGGTGGGCCAGTCCATCACCAACATGATTGTGGACGTCGTTACGGGTGCGACAATTTACACGTGCATCGACAACATCATGATTGCAGCACGGGAAGGACAGGAAGAAGTTTTCGTGGCGACGGTGCGAACCGTGCTGCAGAGGATTCGCCAGGCGAACCTCTTAACATCCCCGGATCGAGAGAGCCTCTTGGCGAAGACGGATACCGAGCTGCTCACACTGGCTCAGGAGGAGCAGGTTTTTCTAGGGGAGAGGTTTTGGTGGAACGGCACGGAGCGTCTTGTATCCAACTCGATCAAGACGATATCGAAGCTCTTCTTAGCATTGCAGGCCACCCGATTTACATGCCGCACTTTTGTCTCGCTGCTCTCTTTGGAGATGTACGCTCTGCATACCACTCGGTTGAACCCGGCAGTATTTGCTCACCTGCTGCGGGCGTACCGAGGCGTGTACCGCTTAGTCGAACGCGGCCGCCCTTGGGACTCTGAGCTGACGTTTGTCGATCCTCGAGTCAACCGACTGATGAGAGAGCTGGGAGCGAAGCTTGTGGAAAACGGGTGGTGGACGATTGCACCTGCGGTGCACGTCGACTACGTCGACTCGAGGTATGATTATATCTCGTTTACGGACGCCTCAGCAGAGGGCTGGGGTGCCATCTCGCGGTGGAAGAATGGCTCTGCTTTCAAGTATCCGCAGCGTTGGGTAAGTGACCTCGAGACCGATGACGAGGAGGTGCATCCAGCTGAAGGGCAAGACCCGCTGCTTTTTACGGCAAAGCACTCAGCTCACGCGGAGCCCGCCGCCATCACCCGGCTCTTGAAGCTGTTGCTCAGGAGAAACCCGTCGCCGGGACAGACCTCGGCAGTGGTCACCGACCACATCGCCATCGTACGCGCCCAGCGCCGCCAGAATGGATTTGGCGGGATAGGCAGAGGGTACGCCTTGAACAGGCTGTTCCAGCTCCCCAACGCCCTTTTCCACGAGCAGGAGATCAACGTGGTGTTCTTCTACATGAAAGGGGAGGGGAATCCAGCCGATGACTTGTCGCGGCACTTTGGGGAAGACTACTCGCCTCAAACCATCGAATCCCCCGCAGACAACCTCGGAGTGCCTAGCGTCGAACACACGTACTCCCCTTTGTGTGTAAGAGCGGGAACGGAGTGGCCGCATTACTTGTAGGCGTTGGGAGAACGCAGACGCTACCTTTGGGGAACTCGGTGACGGTGCGGACTGGTGCGATTGTCCACACAATCACTGAGCAACACAAAGGAAGCGAAGTCGTGCAATGTGCGCAGGAACGGTGAAGTCCAGCGTGAGCTTGCGAACCGTGCCTCTCTCCGGCCAGCACGTTCTTGATTCAGGTTCGTCTCCCTCTGTCTTCTCCTCTTCTCCAATCAGACCTTCGACAAGAAAGTGACGACGAATGCGTACCTTCGGTGAGCGTTGGCGCTGCGTCCTCTTCCGGCGATGGCGCCACAAGGAGAGGAGCGGCTTGTGTCGA